ATTTGACATCAAGCTTAACATTTCTCTCATTCGTGACTGGTGAAATGTTACGTGTTTCAGAGATTTCTCTACTAAAACTGATGGGTTCAATCATGCACGTCATGAGCATTGAGATTTTTTCTCCGCACCTCTGAACCATGGAGAAAAAGTAAAAATGAGTCATGCATACGAACATATGGCACTACTTGCCGTCATAGGGATATTTTGCAGTAAGGAGCATGGATTTCATTCACGCGTGTTTGAAATGTTCATTCGCCATTCAGTATTCATCATCATCCTCAATCTTTATGGATATCCAAGTAATGACGACATAAATGCATCATACGTAGAGAAATAAAAAACCGCCGAGCTATAGAAGAAATTGGGAAATATGAAAGCATCCAGCAGCTTTCTTCAGCGACATTCAGAGAAATGGGCATGTGCGTTTCTTTCCTGGAGTAATGAGAACATGCGCCGAAACAAATCTCGTCTTTTGACGGATTTTGTGGACCATGCAAGCGTGGCATATTGAATGCCATGTCCGATTTGCAACCCTGATGCTCCTCGGAGCATCAACATTGGACCGAGGTGCTCCGCTTTTGAATTATTGCGTGGGAAGAGCAAAATGCGTCATCCAAATCTCGCTCTTCTTGGATCGGCCTTTTCCTATTCATTGGAAACTGCTTTTCCATCAACATTGTAGTTCAAGACTAGTTTACACAACCCATTAGCAAATCATTTTTTCTTCGAGAAGGTCTTCCACTTGGCACCCTTCATTGTAATTTCACTATTGTGTCAGTAAGATTAATTTTACCAAAATAAATTTCAACACGTGCTTTCATCCAACCTACCATATGGTTCCCACCGACTGAATTGGCATCGTATTATAAAAGGCGAAAAGATAAAAGCCTAATGCCCCTCCCATCGAAACAAGTGCCCTTACACTGCACTCCTCTTTCATATTCATGTCACGCAAATCAGACAACGGGAAAAAAAATAAAGGAAAATGAAAGACACTCTCACATACACACAAAGACAACAGAGGTCGAAATCAAAACCTGTGAATTGCAGATACCAAAACGAATGAGAGATGTTCGTTCGTCATGGAGCTCGGAGGCAAGAGTCAGCTCTGTCAAATTCGAAGACTAGCTCGTGGCTGCATGCAGATCTGAGAAATCACTGCCCTTTGTGCTCTGGTCAGTGAGGAGCTCCAAGCCGTAGAACCGTACACAGAAGGTGAGTCATGAGAACTCAAGGCGTTGCAAAGGACTCAATTAATACGAGCACCTGAAAAAAACATCCTGCCCCCATGGTATCGCCGTTGCCACGAGGAACTTGGAGGTGCTGCTTTTGACTTGGACCCCGATCATAATACGGCGCGGATGAGGGTGGCGAGGGATGTGCAAATTCGGATCGCAATAGAAAGTTTGGACATTCCACGATGAAGCCCTGACTGACATGGTCGTAGTCTCGAGCCCCGATTTTCACTCTTCCCAGCTGGGATTCCACACCCGGCCTGAAGGAAATGGTTGGACTCGAGCTCAGAGCGATCGAATGGATGGATGGATGGATGGGTGGAGGAAGTGAGAGAGAAATATAAAGCCTGAGCTCGAGATGGAGTGGTCCAATTTCGTACGACGACCTTTTAATGGCACTGGAACAGAGGAACTGGCCCTCTTAAGTAGCCTCATTCATTGTGAGAATATCCAAAGCTTCACACGTTCGTATTATGAAGGTATTATCCTCCAAATTGTAAATACCCATTACGTCGCCCCATTGCCCGTCACCAGTACTGTAATCTGAAATGGAGGCCATTTGTGCCCATTTCTGCATCCAAGAAATTCACCGAAAGGTCGACGTCTTTGTTCATTGTGCCTTCATTGCTCGCTCGGTCAACAGGCCCGGGGCTCCAGGGGCAGAATCGGCATCGTAGGGATGTTCTATGGAATTGAGCACCGTCTTTCATCGACTGTAGAAAAGATTGCAGTATGCCTTGGATTGTGGGTATGTTCGTACTAGCCTGACACGGACGGACTCACGACAAGGCCCACGCACGTCCGCAGATACTTTGCCGTCGGAGCAACAAGTTCCGGGAGCCCCGGAGAGACTGATTGCGACTCGTGGTTCGAGGAGAGAGCGAATCACGGATTGAGGTGAACGAGAACCCTAAAGCTTTGTGGCCAATCGAGAATCTCCTGCCCTGCGATGTCAGAAACAAACCGCAGGCAGCCTCCTCTTTGAATCTCAGCCCTAAAAACGATACTCGAGGAAAGACGGATGCTGGATGCAAATTCGTCGGAGAAAGTACCAACAACTCCATGGGTGTCGGTCGACGCGTGCAGCCGCAAGATCCACCCACACCTTCGGATGGTCCTGGAGCAAGATAACAGAACGAGGCGAGAACCCAAAAAGTGTAACTTCTCAGCTTCGAAGACACACACAATTCATGAAATCTTCATCAAATTGATGCATATTTTGCTCGAGACGAAGCACTGCCCATTGCTAAGCTATCACTTCATCACTTCGTTAAACTGAGAAACTCGAACCAGGACCTCTTCTTGGATTCTGCGAGAGATGCCCAATGCTCAAACTCACGTACACAACAAAATGAGTCAACAATAGAGTAAATGAATTGTACGAATCGAGTAAATAAAACAAAGTGCGGGCGGACCTTATCAAAGCTGGAAAGTATGAGACCAAAAGGTAACAAGGTCTGCATTCTCTAATACCAAAATGGTGAATATAGAATATTCATATTGGATTCGTTGTATATATATATATATATATATAATTCATTACAACATCAATCACAAATGTTATAAAATGTATTCCAGATATAATACTTGTATAATATATTTTAAACGGTTGAGATCTTCAATCTATAAGATAATATGATTCAAGTATCTTCATTCTTAAGTTATTTTTGTCGTGTCTCCCGCTAAAAACGAAACTTTATAAAGGTTTCAATAATATCACTTTTTTAAAGATGGAAAAAGAATATTTTATAATTCTTAGATTAACTTGTGGAACTCGAGGTCCAATGTAAAAGTAAATATACGTTGTCGATTATATTTGACGATGAAATATTCGCATGCAAATATTATTTTCACTTTGGACATACTTGTTTAAACGGGAAGAAGTGAGTAAAATTTGGGAGGGCAAGGTACCCAAAATTAATCAGATCATGGCGCACACATAAATCGGGACTACGACGGCCGGCCTACACTCGATGAATGAGTGAGAGTGTGTTCACCAGTAGGTCGCCTTCATTCATCACCGGGGCTGGCCGTCGAGAGACCAATTAATGCTCGATGATCTGATACAATACTGGGCAAAAACTACGTGTAGCAGGTCGCCGACCCTTTCTACTTTATGATCAGCAGCAGCAGCTCCTGCGCACACACACAGAAGACTGGCTGGTTGGTTGCCTGCCTGCCTGCCTGCCTGATTGGGTGCATGATCATCTTGATGCCTTGGTCCTTCTTGCACGGCGATCGAGCTCAGCTTATCATATGATTCATCTCTGACTTGAGATCCTCGTCGTCCTGGTGGCGTACCTCGTGAAACGAGAGTGTTACGACGGGAATGTGGGTCCATACGCTTTCACTGTCCAGTGAAGGGCTTGTCACTGCCCGAGCACCGTACATGGGCTTGCTCTGTCCAGTGAAGGGCTTGTCACTGCCCGAGCACCGTACATGGGCTTGCTTACGAGTACTGTAGTGGAGCTTGACGGTCGAGACTTCATCAGCTTCTACGTGTTCGCCATCTTCTCTCCGTCTGCTGCACCTTGTGAGCTGATCGAGGCCAGTTCTTTCCTCACCTCTCTGATATTGGGCTTGCTTGATCTGAATTCGGTCGGTGACAAGATTCAGGCACATCTCTTCGACGAGTTGACGTGATCTCGAGGGACTGACTGAGGGAAAGTGAAAGTAGCCGTATCGCCGTTGAGAGAAAAAGCATTGCCAAGTCCTGCGGGTTGCTTCTGTCGTGTGGCCAGGCCAGGCCGTCCGGACCATTTCTCACTGGAATCCGAGCATCACTGAAGAAGCCACGGGTTTCCTCCACGGGCGTTATCCAGAATCTCGCCCTACAGAGAAAACGTCACTGACATTGGCGTCGTACGGTACACATCGGCGAGAATGTAGATTCATAATGTGGGCTGTAATGTACGTGTACCATCGTAGCGCTGGACAATGTATTCTTGGTTACGGTAGCATACGATGTTTTGCTTTCGAGGTAAAAATCAATCTTCCATACTTGCCTCGCTATCAGTGGAGTTCGGCGGATTACGTAGAGAAATTCAGTGCCTTGCTTTGCTAATGCAACGCTTACGATGGACGCTCTACCAAAATGGTTTCTTACTTTGCGTCGGTTACCATGAGGATTGTAGATTCTGAGAAATGCTAGGGAGTTGTCACGCAAGGTTGACATGTGCTATCATTTCACTTGATAGGGAGCATTTGTGCTCTCAGTTCATTTCGAAGTCATTCCAGCGGATGAATCCAGTGTTGTAACGCACAGCTGGGTGCAATCCTACTTTTTCATTATTCGCATATATGTCCACCGCAAAGGAGTTGGCAACCAGATGTCACGACAAATACGATTCCAGTCCATCGGAAACAAGATATTACAAAACGACAGCATTCCACGAATCTGCGAAGAGTCGATCTGAACGCTAACATAAAACGTAAGGGGCAGTGCGTGACGTCGGCACGTATGACATTCACGTTTCCAAGAATTAGTACTCTATGGAAACGAGACCGTCAACGCTTCAATGCCAGGAGTCCTTGTATCCTTGTATCTCCAGACTCACCTTCACTTCGCTCCTGCTCATGCGAACCGTACGGTTGCGAAGGTCGCCTTTGAGAAGAATGAACACTACAAGGTCCACCAAATCCTAAGCGTTGAAATCAATTGGAAAGAGAGGAAGAGCATCCAGTGGTTTTACGAACTCGTCATTGAAAAGGAATACCATTCTCTGTAAAGAGCCAGAAAAAATTTCACCACTTCTAGTTCGTCATCGCGACAAGGCAACAGGGCAGGCGACGTTGTCTGCAAATTTGAACTTGGTTTCTAAACAATTTAATAGATTACAAGGATGTGAACTGCTGCTGCGAGTTCAGTGGCACTGGGAGTTCAATGCCTCGGAGAAACTATCAATTGACATGCCCAAAAGGCATGTGATCAGAGTGCCGTACTTTCCAACTATCTCGTACCAGTGGCTTTCCTTTCAGTGGCCCACCCTGCATGTGTTGATGCACAGCGGGTAAAAATCATTCGGACAGATACTGCCTCCGTCTGTGATTTGGGCGGCCAGGTTTCAGACTACTCTCTACAGCCGATCTTCTCTCAGAGGGCAGACCCCATCACATTTCTAGATGGATTCATTCCCAGTGCTTTTACTTACAAGTGATCGGTAACCGTCTACTATTGCTAACAAGATTGTCCTCTAAAGCTCAAGTCAGACAAAGACGACTTGCGCTGAGAAGACATACTGGAGGAGCATCCATCACCCACATGTGGAAAGTTCGACTTCCTGATAGAGTGGGTGGAAGCAACTTACTAGAGATGTTTCGGAGCCTATTGGCCTATTCTGATATCTTTCATCCGTTTGCAAGCCAAATCTATCGAACTTCCTTGGGTCCTGTACTCATATTCACTCTCCTCATAATACTCACCCTCCGGCAGTGACCCTTCAATGTAACTTCCATTCTTCCCTGCAAATGTACATACATGTCAGTGTCTCTCTAAACGGTTGCTAGAAAAGCCACATACAAGAGCGTGGGCATACATACACAGTTGCACTTCACAGCACTCTCGACAGCCATAGCAACTGGGATCCCACCCCCACCTCAGCGAAGATTACAACATCTGGGTGGAGGCTCCACAGCAATGGCGGACTTACACTTCAGTCACTTAGTGCGATGGCAGACGCTTGGAAAGGAGAAAAACTGTCCATTTATATGGCACCAAAGCCGGGCCTTGTGAAAGATAAACTACATTCAAGTCTTTGGTTGATTAATTACAAAGGGGTGCTGCTATCTATGTGTAGGAAGGCCAAGCAGGAAGCATGGAAGAGACAGGGAAGGCCTCTTCAGACTGCATCGATCCTACGCCAACATGTGTCAGGGGCTTACGCTCTCGACTGATGTCATGCAGTTCCTATCAGTATCTCTAGTATCTGCAATCTGAGCGGGTTAAAAGTCTCAAGAAGGTGTAGATACTAAGGGGCACGATGCCTTTTTCCTCAAAGCAATTCAGTGATTATGCTACAACCAGCCACAAGACGGGCCAAATAAATCCACGATCCTTCCCCAAATATGTTCAGCAGATTATGGTTAGACTTGCTAGAAGATCATTTGAGGCTGAACTCCCATCAGGAGAGCCGCATATGAGATTCACACCACAATTCAAAGGGGAGCATACAAGAACGTCCATCCAGATGATAACATGCTGTTTCCAAATAGCAAGCTCAGCTCGTACTTAGCCGCGAATCCGCATTTCGGCTCCCCAGAGTCTGTCGTCGCGGCACACCAATTTCACAAGCGTTGACCTTAGCAGCGAAGCGCAAGGAGCACAGTGACTCGTTCAGAGATTTCGAATCGGGAGAAATGTTCACGAACATCAATGTTTTGGAGTCTCCTCCCAGGCATGGCTGTCAAGGCAGAAACACATCTTAGAAAACAGTGGAGACAAACGAACGCCACTCGCTGTTTTGCACGAGAAAAAGCTTTTATACAAATGCATAACCATCAGATTGTTATGTGGTATTGGTTAAGCGTGTGTAAACTCACTTGGAGAAGATACGTCAATTTTGAGTTTCGATACGGAATGTGCTGCTCTTTGTTTCCAATAGCTAGGATGACATCCCCCAGACTTGACAAGCTTTTGTTAATTGCCTGAATGACGTGCACACAATGATATCAGAATGAGATCTTTCGACTGGATAAAGGCGACCTTCAGATGCAATTCCCGAATACCATGACTGTGCTCTACTGAGCGAGAAAAGGTGTGCCGTACCTGAGTTTCTTTTAAGCGATCGCCAGTGGAGCAACTTCTAGAAAGGCGCTCACTACCAGCTAAATCGATGAGATTGAGCACTCCATGTACCTGTTGCTCCGTGCTCTACAAATATCCGATTGAAAGTCAGTTCCTATTGTGGAGGGTAATTCAAAGAGAACCACTTGCAGTAATTACTCGTATGAACTCAAGTCAGGACAGAAGGCAGTGGTCGTAGTGGTACCTCATTCACACCAGAAATTCGCAGCGTGAACACACAATGGCTGCGGGATGACTGCTCGTTCATCGCTGTCTTACCCACAGACCTGTAAGAGACACCGCATTCAGTCTAGTGCCGACAGATGCAACCACACCGAGGAAAATACAATGCCATCTGACAACTATGCGACTGACAAAATGAAGAGTATGATCGTTTCAAGGCACCTGCTCTGGGCGGCTCGTTGCAGGAGAGATGCAACCTCCTTCCAGTTGCTGACTTCTACTAAGGTAAGATCAGACACAATCGTGTTTCCATTGAGGTCATGTTTCACAATGTGCTGCTTTGCAGGAGTACCATTCTCATTACCATTACCATTGCCAGGACGGGCCAATAAGTCTCTGATCGTCTCATTGTAAATTTCCAGCATGGATGCCTGCAGACAGCGACATTCATTTGCGCAAGCTCAGCTCCGAGAAAATTAGGAAACCACACATGCGTCCAGTGGATCCGCCATCTTCAAATCCAAAACGGATAAAAGGGCACAACAGATTATGTCATCACCTGCATTCGGAAACTCCATCCAGTTGAGCTAAGGGCTTGACTGGTCTTGAATATCTGCTCCAGAGATCGGGGAATAACACCTCTTTGCTCAGGACGGTCCTGATTACCAAGCATAGTGTGCGTCTTTCCTGAACCTGTTTGCCCGTAAGCGAAAATACATACCTGCCACGACAAAGATGTGAGATAACATTTGATTTATTGACTAACTGTACATTTGATTCATCAACACGTCAAAAGTGTAAACAAGCAACAAGCTTGACACAGCATCACCCATCATTTTGCGTACCTTATATCCGTCAAGGGCACTTTGGACTAACTGGGAAATTTCCACAAATACATCCTCTTGCATGACCTCGGGACCGAAAACCTTATCGAAGGTAAAGGTATGTTTTTGTCCTGTATCAAGACCCAGGTGTATATCAGTCTTCTCCCCGAAAGAAGATCGCGATTGTAAAGAACTGATAAAATTCGTAGGCGCTATGACGAAAACTCTTGGACCGGGAATTCTGCACACTTAACACTAGTAGTTGACAACTTGAAAAGTACGTCGCGACCTTCAACCTCAAAACAAGTGTGAGTAGGAAATACGTGCGGACCTTGAGACTGGACGAGTTCAATGCCCCTGCCCATGAGCTCAGTCGAATTCGGATACTGTACGATAGGCTCTGTACCACCGTTGTCGTCTTCGTCCGGCATGAGAGGCCGAACCCTACAGAACACTCTAACGTTGCCCTTGAGTTCCTGAAAATTCGGTGTTCATTTTGACAATCAGCCACAAGTTTCGGAGCCCCAGACTTGTCGATTTCACAAAACCATACCCAGGCCTTGGGACAGCAGTAGGATGAGATCCAGAGAAACGTTTATTACCAAAATAGTATTGTGGAGCTTTCTTCGTACAAGCTCCCCTTCATGAAGTCTGCTTTCTGCTTCCGAAAGCCTTTGCTGAACTTCTTCTAGTCTTCCCTTGTACTCATCGCCTTTGGACTCATTCTCCGCTATCCTTGCTTCAGCCATCTGAGAGACGCAACAACAATAAACTTGACTGGCAACTTCCGACATGGAATAAGACAACATCAGGCGGGACAGAGGTCCGATTTTTACAATGAAATTAAGCCGGAGAAAATCAATGTTAGAATGTTGCGTTCTCGTCGAGTACCTTGAGCTTCTGGTGGGCGAAGTCCAGTTGTTGTCTTAAGGCCTTCATCGCTTCGGCCTGGGAGGTATAACCTTCCTGCTGACATCAAACACGTCAACAACAACTACAGTTTACAGCACGAGTTTTCACATAAAAACTCTATACCAATGATATCAGAACGAGGATAACAAAAGGGTGATAATTGTGAAATACACTTTCTTCCACTTTTTCAAGGATGGGTTATACCTCGAGCGCTACAGCCTTGTTGCTAAGCTGCTCGAGCTCAGCTGCGGACTTCCCTGTGCACTCCTTGTAACGCATGTTCTCGTCCATGAGTGCTTGAATTTGACTAGCCCTCTGTTCCCTGTCATCTGTAATGCGTTGTAGCTCTGAACGTATCCTCTCAGCTTCTTCTTTTAGTTCTTTGTTCTGCTTCAGTCTCTCCAGCATTGTAGTCTGCGTTTAATGCCATAAGCAAAATACTTTAGTTCGCCGGCCTAATTGATTTTAGTGCGCGGAAGAAACAACTTCGTGCGCAGAGCACCACTATAACCTTTGACTAAAGAGACTGCAGAAGGAAAGGAAAGCAGATCTAGTTCATTTGAGCGCGTCGTAATAGTACCTTGCTGGCATCTAACTGATCCTGAAGCACCGAAGTATGGCCGCGAAGTGCACTGAGAGTTTCCATAATTGCGGCCTTCTCCTTTTGAGTTCTAGACATGGCCTCCGCTGCAGCTGTCGCATCGCTTTGTAATTTGCTGTTGTACTGCTGAAGGCTAGTGTTGTACTCCTGAAGTCTTTTATTAATGTCTTGTAGGGAACTCACCTGCACGAATGACACCGGCCCAGAACACGTCAATATACACAAGCAACCAGGTAATCGCCGATTTGAACCATTTCGCCCCAACAACAAGAAGGCCTGAAAAATCGCAAGTCTCGTACCTGCTGCAACAGATTCGCGACCTCCTTGTTCGACTTGTCCAAATGCTCGGTTAAGCGAGAAATTTCTTTCTCCGCAGATTGGAGAGTTTCGGCGTCTTTCTCCCGCGCCTTTAAAAGATTCTGCAAAAGAAGGCCACGGCGGCAGAATTCAAACACCGGCATTCGGCATTCCTCCATGATTCAATAAATACCAGCATCCGCGGCCGCAAAATCAAAAACAAGAGTAATACCGAGAACCGCAAATTTTACCTCTTTCTCAGATTCTGTGTAGGCCAACCTCTCTTCGAGATTATTGCACATGCCTTTGAGCTCGGCGAGCCCCGCCTCCAGCTCGTCTTGCTTGTATTTCAACGTCGCCTCTGAGCTTCCCCGAGAATATTCGCGCCAATTAGACGAGGCAAAATGCCGGCGAGTGAGAACACGATAAAAACGTCATGCTGGAGTCACGAGAACTCCCATCGCCTCACATTTGCAATACAATCATATGCACATAGAAAACAAGCGCTGATGCGTGCCTCGAACAATGGCATGCATGATTCGACGGGTCCTGATCTGATTATCTCACCGGATTGCTCGCGGCTTTCCTTCTCGTCGTCTAGCTGCCTACGCAGGTCGTCCTTCTCCAATGTGATGTTGGTTTCTAGCTCCTGGAACTGACGAATGCACGCTCGAAGCTTTTTGATGTAGTCCATCATTTGCTCGCACTTGCCCTGTAGATTGGGGTCACAAATCGACATTTAGTTGAAATCAATTAAGCTCATCATGTCTCCGATGCAGTTGCCAAAGTTAGCTGGAAATGCTCGTATGGCGATCCCATGCCAGATGCGTCGCGAAAGACAGGACTGAGCCCTGAAGGAAAAGAATCGAAAGTTGATGCCGATTGGTTGCAGGAAAGATTGGCTGAGAGGAAAATGCAAAATACATCCTTTTAATTGATGCATTGACAGGGTAGAATAAATGCACTAACAGCCACGATCGTGAGAATCAATTGTAGTTAAATGTCAAGTGCAGGGCACAAACGAGGTGGAGAGCCGGACAGACGTAAGAGAGAGAATCAGTAAGGAATGGTACAGGCTCCAGTGGCACTGGAGCCTGTGAGGTGCGATTATGGCATATAGGCCAGTGTGAGAGATGTACCTTGTAGTCGAACTTATTCTTGCCGGTCATCTTCATGCTCAAAAGAGCGTCGACATCGGAGGGGTTGACAGTCACGGGGAGCTCGGCCTCTCGGGCTGCTGCTCCCTTGCGGGGAGTAGTATTCGTAGGTGTCCTCATTTGCGATGACGGACTCGAGTCCAAACGAGAGTTGAGTGACAGAAACGCTTGCCGTACACGAGGTTTTAATTCAGTCATAGCACGCTTGTCCAATAGGTCCCTGCCGCCCAACTTTCGCTTCTTGTCTGTCGGAGCATCGTCGTAGTTCTCCTTCTGCTGCAGCCATGTCTACTTTCCATTACTCCAGATTGATGATTACGTTGAGTTATTGAAAGAACAACGTCTGGAGAAAATTCAGACACTCAGTACAGTTTGAAGAGGTTTCAAACTCGCACATGGTGCATTTCAAAAGATCACGCCTAGAGAATTCGAATCAGCTCTCAGGACTAGTTTCTCTTGTGATCGCTCGCTCTTGTGACTCGATGTAGCGAGCCAATCACAAAATCAACTAGTGCCAAAAATGCGATGACAAGAATGATACGTAATGTCGAAATCGGGACTTCTCTCACCCTCTTTTACAGGATCAAGGTCGGCTCAGTGAGCGACGACGACCGAATCGAAATAGGGAGCCAAGGAAACCTACAACCGCAATCGGTATCAGTACTCCCACCCACACCGACCCTGGACACCCCTGGAGGTTTTTCTCCGCCTAAGCATGCACTGCAAGCACCGCGAATCTGGGGGCTCCTACACAGAGTTCCAACTACAAGGGACAGTGTCGATGCCTTGGACTACCCAGGAGAATGCAAATGGTCGATCAGACTGAATGCCGCAGGATAGTCTACGCCCTGACGGCGTCTCAGCTAAAACAAAATCTTCGCCCGTCATGCGCAGCACATCACAAGACAATGCGCAGACGTTCAGACTCTACAGCCCGGATGTTTCATGTTCACAAAATACAGATCCGAGCACTGCCAGTGCCATGAGAACACTGTTCCCTGTACGTGATGCACACCGCTACGTAAAATCGTGAGGGGACTTCCCAAAACTTTCGATTTCATCCCATTTCCCAATCCCGGAAGCTCTGAGCTGCTACGCTAGTTAGAGCCTCGTCGGGCACCACTGACAATGTCGCTCAAGAGACTGACGAGTACAACACATTCGCGTGACCAAGAAGCTTCAGAATGTGCCCGCTTGACCCCCCGGAGTATTACAGACAAAAGCAAGAACCATCAGGAGAGGAAATCAGAAACGAAAGACTGTATCTCGCGATACTCACACTCGAGAGGTCTTTCCTCGGAGTTCCAGGGGCAGATTTGCTAAGCTTCGAGGCCGACTTCATTGCACTTCCACTGCTTCTCTCTCTCTCACTCACTTTCTCTCTCTCTCTCTCACCCACTCTACCTATTCCACAATGCCGCTACCCCACATACCAATCTCTTCCCTTTTCCCTACAGCTCTGCCACCTCGTGCTTCTACACCCGCCGAACATGTGCTCCCGCAGCTCTCAAACTGCCTGCACCACCCGCAGCAGCGACGACGACAGCAGCGACTCCGCCTCTGTTCCCTCCCTGCTTCCCCTCGCAAGCCATTCGAAGTAGTGCTGCCCTCCCTGACCTCATTGCTTCCCTCCCTCCCTCCCTCCCTCCCCCACCTCTCTAGTCTCCTCTCCCCACCTCCCTACGCACGCAGCACCGAGCAATCAAACGCCAACGCCAACGCCAACGCCAAGCCCAGCGCTAGCAGCACGCCACCCTCTCCACCAGCGCAGCAGCAGCATCAGACGCACCAGAAGCTCCACTTCCGTATTTCCGCAGTCGGCCACAGACGCAGACAATCAGACCCACGCAGACACTCACCTCACTCGCTCACTCTCTTCTATCACCCTCCCCCTCCCCTCCCTCTCTCTATCTGTCTCCTCTGCGGTGGTTCGCTCAGCCCCACCTGCTGCTGCTGCTGCTGCCTCTGCCTGTGCTGCACCGTCTGCACCTCCTGCTCGATGAAAGCAACAACAACAGCACTGCCTTTCCTCCGCCCGCGAAGAAGAAGAAGTCCGACGACGAGGGACGACGACGACGAGAGCCTCTCCTGTCGCCTCTACGGCACTCTCCTCTCCTCCGAGGCCTCACTCGCCCTTCACCTTCCCGAATTCAAAAATCACCAGCGCCCCGGTCTAACGGTCATCACCGGCTAATTGACCCAGGGCTTAACCGAGGTTAAGCGTCGCGCTTACCGCGGACCGCCTTGGGCGATAGGGACTTCTCGGCTCTTCGGCCGGCGCTAATCGTGGTTTAGGACCGGGTTATTGGCTGGATGGGAGCCGGAATCGGGAACACGGAGGGAGGTGAGTCCCAACGATCACCTCTCGGGTGCCGACAAAGTGGAGGAGGGGCGGGCGAGTGGAGTCACAGGGCCCCGGGCTTGCGGACGACGACGGGTGTCGTAGTAAGTGGAGGCGCTTTGGTACGAGAACTTTATGTTCTAGTGCCGCGGATGGATGGCTTCGGGCGGAGTTCGGATTGGACTTTGTCTTACGACTGGGGTGGGCGAGAAACCGTGGGACCGTGGGTCCGATCGCGACGTTTACAGTAATATGCTGAAATATGGGGAAAGGGCTCGGGGGTCGACTGGCAGCTGAGGCAGACGGAGCCTTGGGAATTAAGCTTTCGAGTTCCTGAAGTCTGAGTCCTGAGAATGAAGTCCTCCCAGGTTCTTAAGGGAAAGGCGAAGTCCGGGGGATTTCTCGGTGACCGGGTGGTCCATTTATTTCTGTTGTGCAGATACTTGCCAATCACAGAGCTCGGAATTTCAAACTGGCTCATCGCATCGTACCACGTGTCGTTCCGCCATTCTAGGGTTCGAGTGATTTGAATCGGGTAAGCCCGCGCGGCGGTGGAGCGACTGGTGATAGCCAGTCCGCAGTCTGGCCCCACCTGGCGATGTTGACCCTAGATCGGGTGCCGACGTATTGGGACCTCTGTGCTATAGAGCGTAGAACGGTATAAATATTTGTCTGAAGAAAAGCACGTGCGCTGCTTCGGACACCCGACTCGTACCGGGAGGAACTGTAAAGATGCGGGGTTGGTGCACACTGGCGGTCGCTCCTTCGACGTAAGCCCGTCCGTCCGTCCGTGTCTGTTACTAGCTGTTAGGGTGTCGAAAGCATGACCCTACCTGGAAGAATGGGCTTTATATACCATGTATTTTAGCCCTTCAATTTTCCTAAAGTCTATTGACATGCAGATAACTCCTGTTGTATAACTCGTGTGATGTTCAAGGATCTCCCCCAATAATGAAGTTCGTCTTTTCAAAACCTTTTTGATCAAGCAACACCTTCCGAAATTCATTCGATACAATTATCTAAAGAGACAGGAGATATACCCTAAAGAAAGAAATGGAATTGCCAACAGGAGTGTCAAGCGTACTCACTCAAATTATACTAAACGCATAAATACTTCAAGTATTCGTATGAGACCAGATAAGGATGTGCATTTATACAGAGTTCAAGCTTAGTAGTAACATGGGATCATTGTGTCATTATGATTACAGCTACGTCCTCAGGTTGACTAATATATTATTATAATATAGTACACTTCTAATCGAATTTTGATCGGAGTCAGCAGGCTAAACTCAATAAAAAAAGAACAAAACATGTTGTCTTCTTTGAATGCAATTTTTCAACATGCAAGGACGAAAACAACGTTCAACTTGCAGGCCGTAAGCATATCGCTAGCGTTCATTCTGAGCCAGGAAATTTCCTTTCATGCAGTTTGGCAATAGACAAGTTCAAACTCTAGTGTAAATTGCGTTTAAATCTATGTCATTCCTAGTAAAAGAGTTGCGCATACCTTCAACTTTCTAGTTTTCTTAAATTAAAATTCAAGGTGTCTAATCTTAAAACACGTGTAATTCAATGTATTGAGACCATTGAATTACATGGTCTTTTCGAAAATGCAGTATCTGTCATTCTCATTCATTTAGTGAAATATATGTTGACTACTTCACATATAATATACGTCATTGTTATCTTAAAATTTAAATGAGAATTTAAATTTTATAAAGAAAAAACCTACAAGATAAATAATTTTATGTAGAATTAATTTTAAAAGTTAAAATGCCATTGATAGAAAAATCTATAATTATTTTCAAATCTATTATCACTCAAACAAAAATAATCAAAACACATAATCAAAATTTTCAGAAATTCAACACAATTTTTTCTAAAAAATCTCAATTACATCTACAAATATAGTAGAAATATTTCAAAATCCAATATATTGTTTAAAGATATAGGCATGTTGAAGAGTATAAGATATGGACTACTTTACTTCAATAAGAAAAAATTTCAATTTATAAAATCGTGAAATAATAAATCTTTAATCAACATATTTGAAGACAATTAAATACCTTTGGTGTCAGATTTTATGATTTGAAGACTGCTTATTAATTTCATTTGTATTTTTTATTCAGGTGTATTTGTAATTCATTGTGCTTTAATTTTATCATATAATATATATATATATATATATATATATATATATACTCCATTTATTGATGGCTTATGGTGATATATGATTTTTTCCTTCAAATTGGAATTTTAGGGACAAAACATATTATCAATATTACATAATAATTGAAATTATACATTTTTTAAAAAAAATTTATGAAGTATAAATCATAGGATATAATGATATTTTTACCGAAGAAATTTTATTTCTAAATATATAAGACTCTTGATTTAATAAAAGGTTGCAAAGTTATCTCAATCATTCAATATTTATTGAGATTGATTTCACATATACTTTACACAAATATATGTTGATGAATACATATAAATTATAGATGTTAGTTAAATAAATCAAACAAATCTTGTGCACTAAAAATTTATGAATCTTGGTAAGATACACACACAATCAAACACATTGTAACCAAATTTATATTTTTTGAAAATCTGATAATCTTAATTTTTTATAATATAATTTGCAAGTGAGTCAAATCATGCATATTTGTTACAATTTATACTTATAAAAATACTATTCAATCACTAAATTTTATACACAAAATTCAAAAAATGGTCACTTTCAAATTTTGTTGTCTTTGTAATTCTATTTTTGTTAAAATCATGTATAGATTAAAACAGAAGGCTGAATTTGAGGTGTGTAGAAATAAAAAATGAATGCTTTATAAATCCTCTTATTTGTAACGTATAGTTATACATTAATTTATTTTCATTAAACTATTTATGTGTACATCTTATAATTTGCACTTTATCACTTATTGCAAGTCCATTTTTGTACATTATAATTTTTGAGTTCAAAAAAATGTACAAATTACATGTTTTTACAAAATCCAATATAGCAAAATTAATGTTGATATTTATGCTGTGTGAAATATTAGCAACAAATTTCTTTACAGTTTGAATTGAATGATTTATTCATTTGCTTATAATTATATCAATTATGCACAAACATCTGTTTCTGAAAAAATCTACTGAACAAAATTAACCACCATTCACTTATGTAACAATCTTTTATACTTTTAAAGATACAGTTAACCAAGTGTAAAAAACCTGTATATCAAAATTATGTCAATTTCAACATTGGTTGGAAAATTTGTAAAGGTTGGTTTTATACGCTAAAATGATTGCAAACTTGAATTAGAATACATCATTTGTGTATTACTTAGTTGAAGTGTTGCTTTACTTTAAGTGATACTTTATAATTGCAAATGATTATTTGAAAAATGTTCATCAAGTCTTTGATAGTTATTAAAGTGAATAATTTTATTCATATAAAATTCAAATATGTGAAGCATTCAATTATTATGGATAAATTAATATATTTTAGAAATAAAATTACACTTCAGATTAAAATAACAAATTTGGAGGTGTGAGATCTAATATTAATATTGTTATATATAATACCATTGCAAAGTATGTCATAGTTTTTTATATAAGATATGGTAACATTTTAGTTCGGCATTGGATTGTATTAATATCAGCGACTTAACTTTTCGGTGGTTTTGTCTTGTCCTATCATACAGCGCTAAGCGATATACACATTTGTGGCATCGAAAGACATTAAACATTTGAGCAAATGGGCTGTATTCGCCGTAGACGAAAAGGCTATGAAGAAAATTCATGCTTCAAAATTTATTATCAGATTATGATTGGAAGATAACCAGAAATAATAAGTGAGTTGACTGTACGTGCAGTGCGGGCATCTTGCCTTTGAAGACCAATGTGGACCTCGGGGGCCTGGACCACGAACGCTCCCGCGCCGGTGACCTCATGATCCCCTGCTCAACGTCGTCGGCTGTCCCAATTTTGTCTTCTGGCAGGGCAAAGTCTGCCACGTCATCACGACATCGTCCAAGTCAAGCAGAGAGGGATAAAGAGAAAAGAGGAGCAGACAACGAAGGACTGGGATCTTCCTCCTCCTCTTGTCATCTCCTCAAATAATCCTTCGAGGGCAGTAGGTCGGGTGACCCGGCCCAGCAGCCACGGGTTGCAAAAAGGAGATACTTTAAGAGGAGGTAATAATTTAAGGGCTTTGGACGGGGCATGGAGAATCCAAACGAGGTCAATGACAATACAAAGCGAATGTCGCTCGATCTTTTCTCTGTTTGTTCGATGGAGGCTGCTGCATGGACTGCTCAATTATGAAAGGCTGTTAGCGGGCATTTTGCACTTTTCGGCCTCCAGGTTTTGCTCTGGCGTCTCGATTTCCACGGCGATGGGATCTCGGAACGACTCTTTTTGTGAATGTATCTATACTCTACACGAGCAGATGCTGGCGTGCAGCCACCAAGAAGGGAAGTAGATTGTAGAGGGGTATATATTCAACAGAATGTGTTGGTTTTCTTTTCAAGATGAAGTGGTTTTAATGATGAAAGTGGAGCATGTTTGATATGTTATTATTTCACCGTAACGGTACAAGAGATGCAGGTTATTTTGGATTACAATCAAACATCAATCAGCTGAGCTCAATTCTAGGAACTAGATGGATGAATTAGCTGCTTAGTTA